GTTGTCATGAATTATTTAAAAGTGTCAGACTCAGCCATCAGTGGGCGGGACTAAGCTGGTCCTGTGAAGTCCACTGCTTTGGTCTGTTTCACTGTTGCCAACTTAGCGACTTTGTCACTAGATCTAGCGACTTTTTTTTTTCTTTTTCGAAAAGCGACTAGCGACAAATCTAGCGACTTTTCCTGGTGTTTTCAGAGACTTTTAAGAGCTTTGGCGACAGCATTTTCCAAGCACTTCTTTCCTTTCCTCCTCTGCTCCTCCACTAAGTGGTGCAGTGACTCCTCCCCCTTCCTAAGCCGTGAAGCCACGTGCAGCACCCCCACCCACCCCATCCCCTGAAGTTAGCTGATAGGAGACGCTGCAAATGAATCAGGCATGTACAAAGCTGTCACTGCTTCTGTCTGGTTTACAAAGCGGGATATAATGTTTACTGGGATGGTTTTTCCTCTGGTACTGTCTCTGGATCCAGCAGCATCACTCACAGTTCAGTCACTTCCTCCCTGTGCCTCAACAGTCTGCAGATTAAATTTAAGATTCCCACAAATTAAATTTCTGTGGATCTAAGCATTAAAGTCATAAAATTATTTTTATTTAATTAAGTTTAATTGCAGTTCTAAACATATTTAGTGTTTTTAATTCACTTTTTTCTCTTCATCATCTCTCCTATAGCTCAGGTCACAACAGCCTATACGCCACGGACATCTGGCCCAGCACTGGATGCCACTCCCAGCACTTCCGGTTCACGGTCAACACAGTGTTAGCGAAAGATTTTTTTCCTCGACAACGACTTAATGATCTCCACAGTACAGAATTATCATATTACATGTACCAACATTAACACAGGAGACGTACAGGTCCAGACAAGTGGGAAAAAATCACTCCAAAGTGGATTAAAGACATAAAAACAAAGGAAAGACGTTTGTGTATATGGTTCCAGAATTTAGCCTTTTTCACTATTCCTTCGCTGCTTGTTCRGTGAATTTTTCACGTAGAGCTGTGACACTTATATTGTTGGAAAGAGCAGAGTCTGGGCTTTAAACTGATGGGCTACTTGTATGGTTTGGATCATTTTCCCCGACGTTAGTGAACTGAAAACGTAATGATTATCAGGAGGAGGTTCTGCTGCTCTCGGTGCTGGGGGCGCTCGTCACTCGGCTTTAGTCTACACTGTAATATA